AATTATTATTTTATTATTTTTATTAAACTACCAAGTACAACATGCACGGCTTTCACAGAGTGAGCCAATTGTTTTCATTTTAGCCAAAACATTTTATACCCTCACATGAGTATACTATCCATTTTCTCTCTCAAATAACACGCAATCTAGGAGTAATTTTAGGACCTCAATTTTGGGATCTAACCTCTTCAAACCATAGACTAAAATCACTAAAAAAAATTCACAAATTGTTCTCTCTTTGTACTTGAAGAAAATAATATCTCAAGCTTAAATAGAGACCGTCCAATTTTTGGTAGGGTAAGATCTAAGTGCTAACAAACTCATAGTTCAAAAAATATTTTCCTTAAAAATAATAATCTAGTGATTATTAGGTGGTTCTCAAATTTTCAAATTGATAATATCCTCCCAAGTAGGTCTTCTAACCGAGCGAGTAGGTCTTGTGGGAGCACAGTATGCGTGCTCATTTAACTATAAAGAATACCAAACAAATACATTGCACCATAGGTAGGATTAGGAATACAACTAAGCTTTTATGTTGGAGACTACAAATGGAAAGTTGTTTATTCTTTGAGAGTGCAAACGATCAAATGTTGCACCTAGGCCGACAAACACTGAATATGGAAGCCCCGTGCTTCATAATGCGTCTTACTATAAATGTAGTTGCCAATTTTGTGGGTTTTTAAATTTTTCATATTATGGTAGTTTTCAGTATTAATTTCATGCTTCAAATTGGTTTTAAATTCACCAAAATAAGCAAAATTAGGAAGAGATGTTAAGATTTCAAATAGAAAAGCAGTTTAACGAATGATAAAATTATCACAATTAGTTAATTGGTTTTATCACTTGTTACGAATGATAAAACCACTTGATAACCACTTGAGAACTTTATCATTCGTAACAATTAGTTTTATCACCAAACCAAATTGGTTTTAAATTCACCAAAATAACCACTTGATAACGTAACAAGTGTTCAATGTTAGAACCTTCTTAAACCTGCCGTGCCTATTCAAACCAGCATAGGAAAAATCACGCAATTCAAATTCTAACCGCCCGGTTAGATTAGCCATTGGCAAGTTCTGGCTTCAACCAGTTTTAGTGAACAGGTTCGGTATTTTTAAAAATATTCAAAAAATATATAGAGTCCCAAAAATAAGGGATTTTGTTTGTAATATATTTTTTAATGAGAATCATCATTTCGGTTAAGATTGGAAATTGTTTTGGCCATTAATACTTATTTTTACAGTTTCCCATCTTATTTGAAAAAAAAAAATTTAAAAAAAAAGCTATGCCTAAATCGATTCTTTAAAATCCATTTTTTTCATTAATTTTTAACTTCATTTGGATGTGTTTTATTTAATCATTCTTTAACTATACATTTTATATTTTATTAGATTTTTTTGTATTTTTAAATTTTTGACACTTTTTTTACCCCTCAGAAGTTGCCTGGATAGGCTGGTTGAACCGGTCGGTTTCTCAGTTAAGCCGATTGAACCGCTTCCGGCCCCATATGTCCGGTTAACTGTTCCGGTTCAATTTTTCCTACACCGATTCAAATACACTTTCTTGCTAAATCAAGACCATGATCCTCATTTTTTTCCCTCAACATTTTTTTTTTTTTTTTTTTTGACTTTGATAAAATCTCATACCTCTGGCCACCCAACTAACGCTTTTTCGAGGATATTTGAGCAGTCAATGCCATGCTTCCAACTGCCCAATTTCATAATCTAAATGATTCGGTATGATTGCGGTCATTAAAAAATTATATCATATAACTATTTATTTTTGGTTCAAGGGTCATGATAAGTTTTAGTAAAATTTTATGTTGGCTGTGTATCTAACACAACTCAATCCCTTTATTTGAGCATGGGACAGATTAATGGAAAGTTTAAAGTCCTCACCCTTGGGCATGGGACAGGTTAATGGAAAGTTTAAAGCCCTCACCCTTTTTAAACCAAAATTCATGTAGCTGACCCAATTAGTTGAGAAAATGCTTAGACAATGATGATGAATCATTTATTTTTTGTACAAAAAGCTCGCAATCCTTCCCAACCATCAGATCTCATATATAACAGCTAGGACTATGTTGCAAAATCTGAGAACAACTTTATTAGATTTTTTAGCACTTTGAGATTGGTCAATGGCACCACCAAATCACCCAGGTTTGCATTTAAAAACTGAGAATGATTGTAACTTCTTTGTACTAAAATTAAATAGTTCTATTTTTAAAAAAGTCTTGCCCATGGCAACTTGAGGTTGGAATTATAGTGCTCTTATGAAAAGAGAAGTGTAAGAACTAGCCCCTAAATAAAATTACACTATAGGCAGTGTCAAATGGATGAAGGGTGGAAACCAATTAGTGCACAAGCAAACGTATCACTAAGGATTACAGATAATCTCCACTATCCATCAATACTGTAGATTGAGTACCATACATATCTAACTGAGGGTATAGCTATTGATAAAGCGGAGTGGTAGAACAAGATTTTATTTTTTTTGGGGGTAAGTCAGTGGGGGAGATGGTCCCCCTACCCGTTTTTCATTAATGGTAATAGAAAAAGAGAACAACTCATAAACTTACAATCCTATAGTAGGGCATTTGCGCAACATCATGAAGTAAAGAAAGTGAAATACAATCAGGCGGTCTAATGCACCAAATGGTAGCTTCAAACAAAGTCATGGCCTTTTTAGTAAGAGTGATGGCCACCATATTGGCCTCACGGTAAATATGTGTGATGTGCCACGCACACCCAGTAAGTCTATGTCTGCAGTTGGTAGCAATAATGTGAAGACGCCATGGGGCTCTACATCTATCTCGAATGGAATTGATGAGTATGAGTCACTTTCAATTTGTAAAAGAAAGCAATCTAACTCAATGGCGAGATCCACTCTAGCTTGTAAAGCATGAAACTCAGCATAATTATTGGATGCGACTCAATGGGTTGTGTAATGCAACAATAAAGGATCCATCTTCTCTTCTGATGACCCCACCCCTTCTTGTGTGTCATGGGTTTTGGAGAGAAGCTCCAACAACATTGAGTTTGAAATGGCCTGGATGAGGGAAGAACCATGCAATCGGAATAGAGGATTTCGTTTTGTCTTGCCGCCATTTAATATGAAGATTATCTACTATGCCTTTTTCAGATATGTGAAAAGTCCACGCCCTAACATCTGCCATATCTGTAACATGTAGAGTAATCCTCCTGACAAGTTGTTCTCTCTTGGAAACCTCCCTCTGAAAAACCCGATGATTATACTCCTCCCAAAGCATCCAAATAGTGGTGAAGAAAAGGAACTGCCACATGTTAAGGAGTCCCACTTATTTGAACTTGTAGGAAATCCAAGTCCTCAATATATATGCCATGAGTTGGATTGAGCCATGAAAACGTTTGCCACACCTCCATGAAAGGGATCTCCAAATACCTTGCGAGAAAGAATAGTGAAATAATAGGTGGCAAACATTATCATTGTTAGACTGGCATAAAAGATATACTTGTGTCGTGATAATTCATCTCCGTTGTAATAAAGAGGAAGTGGGAAGTCATTGATGGAGAGCTAACCAAGAAAACCATTTTGCTCTGGGATGGTAATGCGAAGCCCATATAGCCTTGAAAGTCGGCTGTGGAGTGCACCGTCGTCGAATATGATCCCATACATCTTTAACTCAGAAGAAATCATTGGCAGAATGGATCCAAACCAAGAAGTCTCTCTGGGGGCATCGAGGGAATGTGAAGGTTGCAATCTCATTCCAAACTCGAATAAGAGGGTGAGGTATAGGAGTGGGATCGCTCAATTCTTGAGAAGAGACTTGCAAATAGTCTGTCACTTTTGGCTTGGCAAGAACACCCCGATCTCTGTGTATTTGATCTCCATAAGATTCTCAGATAGATTGTTTAAAGAGCAGTAGGTCTGCCCAGAAATCCACCAAACGACCATCCCCGATAATCCATCGGACATTATGTCTAATATAAGACAAACCCAATTGGATGTCCTTCAATTCATTAGAACAATTCCTCCACTTGATCACCCAAATGAATGTGTCTTTAAAGTATATGTACTTGAAGAAACATGATATGAGGGACGAAGGGTTGGCGACAAGTCTCCACGCTAGTTTCATCATTCCCGCAATATTAAACTCTGATATCTCAAGAATCCCACGTCCTCCTCTGCAGTAAGCAGACAAACATTCTTCCATTTCACCAAGTAGACTCATTTCTTCTCAACTGAGCCAGTCCATAGAAAATTGCGCCACAACCTCTCTACTGCATTGCATGTACACTTAGGAAGAATAAAACATAGAATCCACAAAATTGTTGAGGATCTAAGAACATAATTCAATAGTTATAAATGACCTACATAAGAGAACGACATGGCTTGCAGAGTCCCAATCCTGCCTATGATTTCCCCCACCAGGCTATTGCAATGATTATGCTTTAAACTCCTATGAAATAGTGGCAATCCCAGATATCGTACGCGTCCAACTCTCTCCTCTCCATCCATCATCTCAATGGATGGCCGATGACCCAATGGACTATGGGAGTACTATTTTTTCCATAGTCCAGTGATTTAGGGTGCACCATGTTATTTAAGCGACTCAGCCTTATTCGCCCTGTACATTCACAGTTGTGGAAATTATTCCGCCAAAAAATGAATAGCGCGTTACGAAAGGGCATTATTCTAAGAGTTCAGTAGCCGCACCAAAACGGTACAATCTGGACCTTCCACAGCACAGATTAACGGTGTTAAATGTACTAGTGGGTGCGCTTACTAAAATAGTTTAGTGTAAAAACTATTAACAAATAAAAAATAAAAATTCAGCTGGCGTTGTATACTCTGTAAGTTGCAGTTGGGCCGGTTAGTTTCCCATGGCGCCGCCGCCTTGTGTCTGAAGAGAGAGGAAAGTGCGAGAGAGTTTAGAGAGAGAAAGAGAGTCAGAGAGAGAGAGAGGGGATTATAGTCTTAGAGACAGGAGGTTTAGAGAGAGAAAGGGCGAGGAGGGAGGTTTGATAGAGAGAGAGAGGGAGAGGGTTTGTAGTTGTGTGCAGAGAGAGAATGAGGAGAGAGAGAAGAGGGTGAAATAGGGATTGCAGTTGTGCTTAGGGAGAGAGAGCTAAGGATTGCAGAGAGAGAGAGAGAGAGGGTTTTCAGTCTTGAAGAAAGAGAAAGATATTGCAATCCAAGGATATCGAATTGTGCAGCTAGAGATAGAGAGTGAGAGAGGTATTATAGTCTGTACACATTAGAGATACAAGGATTGCAGTCTTACAGAGAGAGAACATGAAGAGATTGTAACTGTGCAACGAGAAAGAGATTGCAGGTGTTGCATTTCGAGAGAGAGAGATATAGATTGCAGGTGTTCCGTTGAGAGAGAAAGAGGGAAATGAAGAGAGAGAGTAAAATGAACGGTTCAGATGAGAGAATCAAGGGCCCCTGGTCCCCTGAAGAAGATGCAGTTTTGAGTCGTCTTGTGAGCAAGTTTGGAGCGAGGAACTGGAGCCTGATCGCAAGGGGTATCCCTGGTCGCTCTGGTAAATCATGTCGACTTCGATGGTGCAATCAGCTCGATCCCTGTGTCAAAAGAAAGCCCTTTACTGGTATAATCCACGGCTCGCTTCTTTGTTCTAGGGCTTCTTCTTCCTCTTAGGCCATTACCCCCTCTTCATTCGGCTTTTCACTCTTCATTGCTATTTCTCTTGTTTGCTTTTTACTTTTTTTGCATTTCCATTGAGTATCTGATTCCTCTGCGTTCGTGTATTTCGATTCAGTCTCTGATTATATTTAGGTTTGTTCATTTCTGCTGGGTACCTGATTATTTTGGATGCATTTATTTTCTGTTGGGTGTCTGATTATTTTGTATTTGGTGTTTGCTTTGTTGGTTATAATCCTTGAAAGCTATGGTCGAATGGTAGTGTATCATGTAAATTCTTTAGTGATAAATGGAGTATTTTGTTGCATAATGTTGCGATTTTGTGGATGGATAGTTTAGATTTTAGTTATGTGTTTGTGTTGGATCAATGTGGACCTTTATGTTTGAAACAATTTTCTACGTTGCACATTCTGCTTATCAATGTTCACTGAGCATTTCTGTCACTTCAAGAAATGTTTTCTTGTGCTGGTTTTAAATGGAGATTCAGTTGTCTTTAATCATCTTCTTTTTCTTTTCTGGCGTGTTTTATTGTTTTGCGTGGTTATCCATGCAGCTTTGTGTAATCTTTAGGAATATAACCATAAGAAATGACAGCTGCTTGGAAAATAGCATTGCTTTATCTCAATCAATTTGGTTGGGTTTTTTTTTACCCCTTAGCTTTTGCAAACTTATGTACTAAGTTTCCTACACAGTTGTCTTTCTTTTTTCTTTTGTTTTTTTAACCCTTTGCTCCACTTATTTTCTTTCTAATTGTTTTGTAGGCCTAGAAAAGACCAAGCTAGTTATCTTTAAAGTGGAGGCGATCTGTTTATATCTCTATAAAACTTTGGATTTCTTTGCTTGTTGGTTTTCGAGATACAATTTTCTATTGTCAGGTTACTTGTTGATTTGTGTTTTCGTGCAGAATATTATGACATGCTTGCAGTTATGTTGCATTATGTCGTGATAAAATCATATTCTGTCTCATCAATGGGTACTTGAAATTTCAAGTTTATATCTTTGTCCTTGGGAGGATCAGACTTTTACTATGATAATAAACAACAGTCATTAATTTGAAGATTCTGGAGGGCCTATGGCCATCTTTTGGCGCTTTGTCTTACTGAAAAAAATTTCCCTGATATTTTTGTGATAGTCATTGTTTATGAAGTTCATCAACCTGATTAGTTGTTCTGTGGATGAATTTTTATTGTGTTTTGCATTTCCTTGATACACTCATCTTTGGATTCCTAATGTATATCCAATGCTCTGAATTTAATGCACATATGCCATTATCCATTTTCCACAATTTTATGGGTAATGAGCCATAATCTTATACACAAGCTACACTTGGACAAAAGTTTGGTTATTAGCTTGTTGATCATGCAATCAGCAAGTGATGCCTACTGGTGCTGTCAAAGCCAGTGCCTTTGAATAATGATTAGAAAATCCTAATTGTAATTTGAGCTAATTGTGAAATGCCTTTGGAATTTCTGGAGGAAATTCGGATGAATACCCTTTCAGATTGCTTTCAAAATTCAAATTAAGTGACAGCCTAGGAAGAGACTTGGATGTGAGGCCCATCCATGCTTTACTGCTAGCAATATGGTTGCCATTCTGATTTGTAGTTCAAGAAGACACCATTCTTTAGGGTCTTGGGTGTGAGGCCCATCCACGCTTTTCTGCTAGCAATATGGATGCCATTCTGACTGGTAATTTGACGAAGACACCATTGTCTCTGGAGATACTTTGGCTAAAAATTAGCCTTAATTTTGTTCTAAGATGTTTTAAAGAAGTTTTAGAACAAAAAAGTATCTTGTTTTGAAGACTTGGTATCAATTCCATTGATGAGCTTGTCATAGTTGTATCAGAAACAAATGAAGAAATTACCTGCTTGCTGTTTTGGTGAGGTATATAATTCCCCTCATTAAGGCCACACCTACAAATCCTCTGAATCTACTACATGTCCCTTTTCTGTATGTTAATTGAAGTCCTAGAAGGTTCAAGAATTTATGAAGTAACTCCCTTTAGAGTGGAAGGATCAGGATAGCAAAATTTTTCCTACTAGAATTGAATGAATTTTGTTAACCAAAAGCCAATTTTGGGCTTGACGTTTGTCGTCTCAAATGTATATGTGGCTGTTTCTCTTCTAAATTGATCTGGAGGTATTTCATTGGAGTGTGAAGCCTTTCTATGGTTTTTGCTTCTGAGTAAATATTTTTGAATGCCACAAGATTTGGAGATACTCAGGGATAGGCTTGGTACACCTGCATTTGAAGTGTCATGTTAAGGGAGATCTAGGAAAGGATGAGGTTAAGGGTTGAAAATGGTTAGCAAGGACAGTTTGGGATTGACTAAATGTGTGATAAGGATAAATTGGAGAATCATTAATAAATTGATAGTAATCATGTTTTTGTGTAAAAATGTTTTTCATGATAAAAATATGTATTCCTCTAATTAAAATTGTTTTTGCATTATCTTGAATGTTCGTAGGCCTTTGTTATCTTCATTGTTTGGTCAAGGACAAGATGTTGGGGTTTCTCTGTCCATTGAATATAATATATGGACTTAGAAGGCTGTTTATCCGTTGTAGCAGTATAATGATCGCTCACCATGCTCCAAAAGAACTATTTCTTCAAGTGTTTTATTCTGATGACTTAAGATTTTTCTTGTCTTTTATTTTCTTTTCTTTTCATAGTTAACGCAGTCATCTAAAATAAATGCTGTAAATCAATATTGGCTTTAAAATCCAAACGCAGAGGATATGTACTAGTCAACTAGAAACTCTTTTTGTCTAGTTGGTGTATGTGGGAACTTGTCAGTGACAGAAAAGTCAAAGAAAGAACTGATGCTCATTTTTTGTTGTACTGGCATTTGATATTGCTCAAATCAACGTCATTTTGATACACCATATTTCTGGTATATGCTAAAATGATATACAGAGAATAATAGATTACTTTAGGAAGTTTCTCTTGTTATGTAGCATTTGTGGATCAATATAGGCCCATTATTGCTATGGCTTATAATATCCACTGTTTCTATGACTCCTTTGTACCATAAGTTTCATTTGAATGGAGATCCATTACCTTTGAAGTTTAGCAAGAGTTTGTTAGTAGAAGATGTTGAATTTCCATTCATCGCCCATTAATCTTCATCAGTATATATGATCAAACAACAAGGCATCTAAGTTATGGGCCCCTACTCCATATCATCAAGGATGCTGTGTTCGAGCTATGAGTGTACTTCGTTGTATTTTTATTTATTGAATAACGTACACATATATGTGTAAATATCTCTATGATGATTTTTCACATTTATTATCATCATCATCCGAGCCTTATCCCAATTATTTGGTATCAGCTACACGAATCATGTTCCACCATTCTGCTCTATAAAGGGCTATGCCCTCAGTCAGACTATAAGTCACCATATCTCGTCGCACTACTTGCATTCATGTCTTTTTTGGGCCTTTCCCTTGCTCTTTTTAGAGCCTTCTACTTGAACCAAATTGCCCATACTAAATGATATTCTTCTAGGTCGACTGTACATAGCCAGACCACCTAGTCTATTTCCCCTCATCTTATCACCTATTGGAGCCACCCTTAAGTTCTCTCGAATGTATTCATCCCGAATTCTATCCTTTATTGTCTTGCCACTCATCTATGACAACATCCGCATCTCAACTACACTCATTCTATGAATATGTTGTTTTTTGACCACCCAACATTCCGTCCCATAAAGCATAGCGGGTCTTACGACCGTCCTATAGATCTTTGCCTCAATTTCATTTGTATATGCGATGATTACATAAGACTCCGGAAGCACATCTTCACTTTCTCCATTCGACTCTAATTTTATGCGTGACATTTTCCTCAATCTCTCCATTCTTATGTATTATCAACCCAAGAGATTGAAGATATTGTCTTTTAGGCACTCCTTGGCGATCAATCTTAACTAATTCCTCGTTTCTACTCGTATTATTACTGAACTTGCCTTCCATATATTTTGTCTTAGTTAGACTAATTTTAAAACTTTTTTATTCTAGGGTATCCCTCCAAAGATCTAAGTTGTGTTGATATTGTCTCTAGTCTCATAAATCAAAGCTATGTCATCCGCAAACAACATACACCATTGTACATGATCTTGTAGATGCTTAGTTAACTCATCCATAACCAAAATGGGTAATGTTTGGGTGAATCAGAAAATTTTGGGTAGAGCCGGATCTAAATGTTAACTAGGTAAACATCCTATAGTAAGAGTAGTAGTTGTGAACCTTGTAGACCATCCCCATGGGGGTGGTGAAGGGAGGGCCCAAAGAGATATGGGCTCAGTGTTTACCCTAGGTGTAGGCCTACTGTAACTAAAAACTCACTTATCTCTCCACTAGTTGTCCTCACACTAATAAGCCCTCCCTCCTACATATATCTCACCGTGTCTATATATCCTCTAGAGAATCCTTTCTTTTCGAATACCCACCAAATTACCTCTCTAGATACCTTATCCAATGCTTTCTCTAAATCAATAAAGACTGTGGAGATCTTTTCTCCTCACTAAATGAATTTTTATGTTGTTGCATGTAATGGTTGCAGTGGTTTCTTCATGTACTGTTCACCATTCACTAATTTTGCAAGTCTGCTAGGGTAACCTTAGGATAATGGTAGCTGGCTATTTCTCATGTGTTCTAAGTGTACTTTTTTTCCAGCTACTATGGATATTGAGTTATTTCAAGGTATGTGACATAATTATATTCCTCCCTTGGTGAAACTTGTGAGATTCTTGCATTTTGAATGAGCTCATCTGCATTTAGTCTGATCAAAGTCTAAACCAACATGCTGCATTTTTGTTATATCTTAAGTCAAAAAAACATAGTGTACGACACACTTGGGTCTGTCTATGATCTATTTCTTCTATTTTGTCTTAATGAGGCTGGAGTCATATCGTTTATCTGATAAGGGACCATGAGTATCATTCTTTTTATCAATTTTACCAATTATAGGTTGGAAATAACCATCTAATATAGTATATGTACCAATGGCAGAATCACCCATCTACTCAACTCACCAATTTTAGGATAATTAGCTACGGTTCAAGTGACTGGAAGTTGCTCGTATGGCACAACATATACAAAACATAAAGGGATGAATGTGAATGTCAACCTATTGATAGTTTCCAACCTCCCAACATCAAACATTATCATTCTTACCATAGTTTTATTTCTTTATACCTAGTATTTTCATAGTTTTGACTTTCCTTACATCTGATTGTGATGGAAGTGAGACATTTTTTGGGGAAATTTATCAAAATAGCCATAAGAGAAGAACTATTTAACATTTGGATTTATTCCAATTCATGATCATGTGTGTTTTGATGGCTATTTTGAAATTAACCAAAAGATATAGGTAGAATGTTAAGTAATTCATTTATCAAGATAATTTCCCTTCTTATAACATGAATATCCAAGGGGAAATACATCTCGTCATGAAGAGTGAAAATCCTCGTTTAGGTTTTCATTGGAGCCTTTTAGAGCAAACCAAGAGATGGATCATTCAAAACTTTATTTTATTTTTTATTTTGATTTTAATAGATTCAAGATGATCGTGCTAAGATTATTTAGAGCGAGCAGATCGGGACTGGAAGACGAAGCGAGAAATTGTCGTATTTTTGTTTTATTTTTTCCTATCTAGCTTACTTATTTAATTTTTAGTAAGTTTTTTGTCTTTTTTGTGGTTTGAATGAGTTGTTTAGGATAAGCATGTGAGATAGGGAGGTTTCTTTTATAACATAAAGAGGTTTATTTCTACCTTTTAAAAAAAAAGAAAAGTAGTTTTTTTTTTTTTTATAATAATAAGGTGAAGAAGATTATCTTTTAGAAAGATAAGGAGTTTGTTTTTCAGTTGGGAGCATCTTTTAGAAGGCAAGAGTGGTATATAAAAGGTAAATGTGAATGTAATGGGACGGGGGTCATGTTTTGGGGTTGAATGAAATTTGATGTGCAAGAAAGAGTTTAATATAGAAGGAGGCTTTTTCTCTTCATGTTTCTCTTTGGTGGTGCGTGGTAGAGCTCTCAACTCTCCTTGTTTGTGCCCTTTTCCTTGCGTTTTCTTCTCGGTCATTCTTTCTCTCTCTAGATCATGGTTGTATTGCTTGTTGTTGACTGTCGGTGCCCACAGCTGCATCAATTTGTACATCAGATTGCTTGCATGAAACATGGAATTGACACACTAAGCAATGTGCAGTACGTCTTAGTTGCAGGGTTGTTAAGATTCTTTTGGCATTACAGGAACATTACTTTGTAAGCATTCCCACTACCGAAGCCTATGGTTTTCTGGTAATCCTAACAAATATTATCTCTTTGCCACTCAAGTCCCACTCCCATAGACTTTCTAAAGTAAACTATAGTGAAAAACTATAAAACACAGACATGTGTATATCGACCCTCTCAAACCAGAAATGTGCAAGAAAATTATTTATGCCTTGCCTGAAAGCTGCATTGGGAGAGTTTTCATTTCTTGAGATAAAATTTTTTTTTAAAGGAAACGGCTCTCTTAGGAACTCAAATTACCTTTTTGCCACAATTGAACTTGCAAAATAAATAGCCAACAAGGCAGTAACTTAATTGGGACAGCACTGAGAAAGGTTCTGTGATCCTTAATCTGGGAACATTCCACAGGGACTGCCTACATATACCTACCTTCTTGTAAAAGATCATTCCTATTGAACTTTTGCTCTGACTAACCTGTTTTATGAACACCGTTAGGATTCACCAACCTAGTCATTTTCTCTCTGCTGTTGTTCACATGGTTTTCTTTTTTGGCTGATCACTCCTAAATGTTCTCATCCTCTATCTTCCTCTTCAATTAATTTTAGCATTCTTTAGCAGCAGTCTGTAGTACCTTTTCCCTCACAAACTTCTTTGGTATTTCTTATGAGTGGTGCGAACCTCTTGGATTCCACTTTTCATATCAATTTTGACACACCCTCTTATTTAACTTCAATCACGCATGAGCCAACTGCCCCCGAGCACCATTCCTGTAACCATAGGGCTAAAAGTCTAAGAGAACCATTTACCAAACTAGAAGCAAATTATTACTAACTATCAAATTTCACTGATGAATCCATCTTTGGTCCATCAGTGTGGAATCCGTTACACAAAAATCCAAATGCCAATTGATACCCCACTAATGTCAGATGATGTGTTCAAACCACTGAGCTTGCTTAATCTATTGTCAAATCTGTAAAGCAGCTAAAGCTATTGAAGGCCATCAAAGTGATCTTGTTAGATAATGAGGGAACAAACCTTTTTATTAATGAGTAGACAACTGAGTTCAGCACTGGTTTTTACATTAGGAGATCAATTCGGTTACAATCTTATGCCAAAACGTCCCATAGATAAATTTCCATGATTTAAGGTCCAATTCCTTGCATGTGCTACAATTGAACACTAGCAGTAGAATGTCCTTCTGCCCTAGATATTTTTGTGGATTGTTCTATATGATTTTTGCAGCAAGTAAATTACCAAATTCATATTTCAAGGCTGGAAATTTAGTCATCCTTAATGACACAATTCATAAGATATCTTATTAAGAAATGATATTTTCCCTATAAGTCTTATCTCAAGTACTTATATGGATAACTATTTGATTAGAAATGTGGTACTGTTTTTGTCGTGGAATGTGTGCTTTTGAGTCTTAAATTAATGCTAATAGCCTTTATTGTAGATGCATACCTAAATTATGATGGATCACATGATTCCATATAATCTTAGTTTTAACTTATGACATCATTGTTGCATTATCTACTAGCTATTGCGATTTCCCATAAAGCATTTAGGAAATATATTTGATGAATAACGATAATATTATCCTTTAGGAATGCCACTTTGTGATGCTATGATATTTTCATCAACAAGCATTTTCTCGGAGTTGAGACTACAGAAATTATTTTGGCTTTGATCAGTGTTACATGGGTATTGAATCTGGTGTCAGTATCTGACACATGTCAAAGATGTCTGTCATGGCCAAAAGAAAAACACGCAAACATGAACATACACATATTTACTATTTTCATCTATTTACTATCTTCCTTTTAGGCTCTTATTATCCTGGGTGGACCAGCACATGGAAGGGTTTCCGTGAGTTTTGAGGAGCATGAGCAGCGGAAAGGTTATCCCACCTTAAGGGCTGTTGTACCAAACTCCCATTGAAATATGATATACCCCCTTGGGAACCTACTCTTTGAAGTCGAAGATATTTGCGGCTGGACTTTGTTCATGGAAATTCAATCTTGAAGTTCTAGCACAGAGATCCTTTTATAGGAGTATCATTTTTGTAATGTGGTTTTGAAAAAGTTCTGGTCCCCCCCCACCAATCTCTCTCTCTCTCTCACACACACACGAAACTTAAGCAAAGCCTCTTGACAAAAGCTTAATTTCTTGGATTTGAGAGCTCTACTTTGTAGTTCTTAAGCATCCAGTTTCATGTGTATTTCCTCTTTGGTTGGAATCCTTTGGCATTGTTATCTATAACTTGGAATCAATAACCCTTAAAAACAAGGCTCCTACTCTTCTTGATGAGGAGCTTTGTAAATACCTTAAAATACATAAATAATTATGCAGTAGAATGATGTAAATTTATTTACAAATTTAATGGGTATGGTGCTTCTAATCTTTATATATTAGTTCGCTAGAGATACTCATTCCAACTTTTGAGCTTCAGATTCAGGACCCCATGTTACCTGCCACAAGGGGAAAATCATGGCACTACAAACATATATTAAAATTATGGTTAACTGCAGCTGAAACCTGGTTAACTCTCATCCAAAACAAAATGAGTATATAATGGCTTTTATCTTGTGGTGCTTATGATGCCCTGCAGCTTTCTCCGGGTTTATAAAACCTTTCACATAGTTTGGCCCTTTCCAAATTTTTAAATCCAACATTTGGCTGAATTCCAGTCATGGTAAAATTCCTAGTTCGAGCCATTTTATCCTTTCTGAAACTTCTATCTAATGATCTTTTTATTTACAAAACTTCAAGAAAAATCATTCCAAAACTTCAAATTTCAAACTTTTCGTACAGCTTCTAATAGACTATTTAACTCATTTGATTCAGCAAAGTGAGTACGTTACATGCATCTTTCAGATACTGACTTGGGCAAAAATTATTGCAGAGGAAGAGGATCGAACCATAGTTGCTGCTCATGCAATCCATGGGAACAAATGGGCTGCCATCGCGAGGTTATTACAAGGAAGAACCGACAATGCAATAAAGAACCACTGGAACTCTACCCTAAGGCGCAAGTGCCTCGAGCTTGAAAAGCTGAATAGAGCTGGCCTTGAGAGGGTCCCTCAACAATCACCGTACCAATCACCTAATGAGAACCTATCAGCAGATTCTTTCAAGTCTCTTGATGAAAGAGAAGTAGCTAACTGTGAGAATGCATCCAACCAACATGAAGACAAAGCCCAAACAAAAGACACAACCAATGTGGGTGAGGAGGCTAAAGTTGGTCCAAATCTATTCAAGCCAGTACCAAGGTTAAGTGCGTTTAGCCCATACAACTCCACCGATGGCCCTGTAAATTCACCATCTCTCTCAAGATTGGGCTCACTTAGGTTCCCTTCAATCCTAACATTGAAACCCGATAATGGGTTATTCCAAATGGTTAACGATGTTTGTGGTGGACCTCGGGTTCCTGTAAGATGTGGGCACGGGTGTTGTGGAACCGAAAACCATAAGCAAAGCACCAACTCTTTGTTGGGTCCTGAGTTTGTTGAGCATCTTGAACCCCCTTTATCTGCTCATGAGTTTTCTTCAGTAGTTGCAGAGTTGGGCAAGCTTTCCTGGCCTAAGAGTGGTGGCCTAGAGATTGGCAGCCATGACTTGTATAGAACTGAAAATGGTCATGTGGGTTTTCCCCCAAAGAATGATGCTGATCAGGTAAGCTTGATTGGGTCCCAAAATGAAGCTATGAAGATTGATGGGGAAGAGGCAAATGGGTCACTGCATAATGACTATGGAGATGGGGATAAGCTTGTGAGCATGATGAAAGAGATGCTTTCATCTCAGATTGCTAAACATGCTCTAGTGATGGCGGCACAAGTTGACGGGTTAAGCTAAAAGGGTGCTTATTCTGATTCCAATGATTTTGGAACTGGTTATTGAAATTGTATGGTACTTGTAGAGCTTTATAGGAGAGGGAAATTAGACAAGGGGAGGTGGCATTTTTAATGTAGAAAGCACTGAGGAAGCATCCAAGTACTGAACAGGAATACTGCCTGAGTAGGAGACTGGTAACTGAGGTCTCGGGAGTGAACGAATAGGACCAAGGAATGTGTAACATACTAAGAGTAAGTTAGTGAACAGTGTCTTGATCTTAGTGTTTGGATGAGTAAGAAAATGAAAGCTGTGTTTGAGAGAGAGAGAGAGAGAGTGTGTGTGTGTGTGTGTGTGAGAGAGAGAGAGAGAGAGGAATTATTGGGGGTAAGACAGAGAGAACATATGTTTCAGGTGTAATAAAGTGATGGAGAGCAAGAGACAACATATGTTTCAGGTGTAATAAAGTGATTGAGAACATGATCGTCTTGCAATCTTCTTGGTGTTCATAGCCTGCTTCTCTTTTATCTCCCCCTTTTTCATTTGTGTATCCTATTTGGTTTTGGGAGCAGATGCCTTCTTTCCATACTCTTGACTGATTAGTTTTTGGATTGCATTTCTTATCTTCAGTCAATCTTGCTGCCATCTATTTTTGGTCCAACTTCTCAACTCTGATACCACAGTCAACCTTGCTGCCATCTATTCTTGGTCCAACTTCTCAACTCTGATACCACTAAAACATTGCTTAAGGACTATCCAAGCAATGGCTATCGCCTTCATTCTCTTTAATCTCTGCCAATGTCATTCTCTTTAATCTCTGCCAATGTTGTCAAACTCGCTTCGGCCGAAGCCTTTGGATTTTAGGCTTAGACCGTAGCGAAACAAAGCCTGGTGTTGGTGTTGCTGCTTTGGTGAGATATAAGCAGCTTCGGGATGCTTCGGTCATATTCAGGTTTGATTCGGGCCAATTTGGCCAAAGCTTCTTCTCTTTGGGAAGAAAAGGAAATCTATATAAGAGTATTTTTTTATTTTTTTAAAAAAAATATTTTTATTTTTTCATTATTTTTATATATTTTATATATAAATATTTAATTTATTTATATTAAATAATACAAAAACCTTTTCCGAATCAGTTGAAGTATCGAATTATTTTATTTTTCTCATCGAACCGAAAAAGATTCCGGAAGGAATCTGGCAAAATTAATCTCCCCACATGTTATGCCTTCAATAAGGAGCAAACAATGGCATTATGCAAGAAATGTCTTACAAAGTTAAACTCATTTGATTGCAAATTCCAAACATGAACATGTTTTAGAAGTCTCAACTGAGAGCTGCCAAACCCACACCTTATGGCTTTCGGTAGTATCCCGCAACAAAGAAGGTTAGGTCGGTGAACCACTTGGGCAACCTGGCAAACTGTTGGTTGACATGGCTCGAATCCCGATCTAGACCCTATAGGTTGGATCCAGGCCTGGATCTGTATCCAGCTCCGACCTATTCCGGTCCGGTTGGGTTCAGGTCAATATTATATTACGTATATCTGACCGGGACCTAAGCTCGCCTGTCCAATGGAATCTGGAACTGACCCACTTGCACTCTTGGGAATGAAAATTCTTAGTTGGGATGAACTTTGAACACAACACTAAAGATTCGGATGAAATAAAGTCGGACATAATATAAAGTAGCTTTTGCAAGGGTGACTCTTCAGGTCAGTAATAAACACCACATACGCAGGTTCTTCAGTTGTATTCATAACAGTAAAATATTGGGTCCCATGAGCTCTTTTGTGCTTTCAAATACAAGATGGGGAGGCTAAACATTTGGAACTTAAAAGTCGCTTCTCCATAGTGTCGCATCAAATAACTATGTCGAATTTCGTGCCCAGAGTCGAATTGGCTATACAGATGGGTTGTTTCCCCCTTCAATTGAAAGTGACTCCTCACTTTTTGAATAGGTCATGAGTGGGAGCGGCTAATTACCAATATGAACTCGTTAACCGTTCATGGTCGATTTGTTATATTTTTCGTGAGGTTAATATACTAGTTGATGTACTTTTTAGGAAGACTATAATTTTTTTAGATGCGACCATTTGATGTTGCATAATTGTTTTATTGTAAGATTATAAAATAATATACTGTAATTTATTTTATGCTATTAATAAAAAAAATGGATAGAAAGCTTTCTCCATCACTGATTTACTAAAAAAAAAAAACTTCAATCTCCTCATGGTTTCTATTTGCATTTTAGAAGCTTTTTAGCCTATGAATCCAGGCATCACATGGAACACAATCGTAAACAGGAAATGACATCACCACTTCAGGCATCTGTGTAACTCCCTTGATTTCATTACAATGAGGTGGCTAAAAAGCTTCTTAACTACTCTCTCTCTCACACACACACACATATCGTTATTGTTCCACTAAATCGTTCTTTATTGCCCTTTAAAAAGTACATTCTTGCATCTCTCTCTTTCTCTCCATGCTTTGGAAGTTCTTTTGTTTATTTCTCTGCCTATCTTTTATATCTTCTTTATTTTCAACTTCTCTTTCTTCTTTTTCTTTATCATGCTCCCTTTATTTCAAGGGATTCCAACCATTTGTGTAATACTACTTTCTTTCAAGGAGGTCCATAGGTTTTTTTTTCTCTTTTCCCAAAACAAACTATTTTTTTGCAATTAAGAACGGGGAAGAAATCTCTGAGGCCACATTTGTCCCCAGACAAAACCCAACCATCTTTAAAAAAATTATTAAAAAAATCTATCTTTAAATTTGTAATAAACTGTAGACCCCTTTTTCCAATTCTGCCCCGTTTCCAATAATAACTCATTCCTACAATTGCTTAACATTTTCTAAGTGGTTATGGGGCTTTCCCCAAAAATGATTGCTCAAATGAAAGGGATGATTTTGAAATTTTTCTTACAAATTTCAAGCATTGACATATTTGCCCATCTTATGATGTCTTTTCCTTCAGACTTACATAAGAATTGATGTGCACAGCGACAATACAGGGAATTCCTTTCTAATAATTGTAATAATTATAGTATCAAATTGATAGAAAACACTTGGGGCTGAATTTGGATGCCCTAGATTTTGCTGAAATAAACAAATGACCTATATTCCTTTCCCTTTTTTTTCCTTTTTTTTTATTTTTCATTTTGATGGATGGGTAATTTTTTGGAGATTATGATTAAACCAAGTATAATCCAATGAGAATTTTGACAATTGAAACGAAGTCTTGTTTTTTTAGCTTTTTTTGAAATTTAAGATAAAAGCAAAAGAACTTAAATGCTACTAGTTCTGGTATGTAGGAACAAAAAATAGTCAGAAAGCAGGACCACAAAAAGAAATGAAAAAAAGGCACAAAACACATCAGAGGATATTTTGAAATTTTCAAATAATCTGTGATTCACTTTATGAGCGATTTGAGGAACAAAATATTCAAATCATCTTTGATTCACCTTGACAATGATTTGGGGGAAAATTTTTATTTTGCTTGGAATCCGTGATTTATTTCTTGCTCAAAAGAACAGTCCACAAGTAATTATTACGAATGGTTTGAATTGGAGAACTTTTTGAGCTCAAACCTTTTTTTGTTGTTGATATTAAGATAAACTCTAATGGCAAAATTGATTTTTTGGAAAATAAAATCCCATTTTATTTTGGAAATTCAAAAATACAAACTGAAACCCCACTTTTTAAGAGAGTGTGTTGTATTTTTATTTTACTTTTTACTGTAAATCGGATGAAACTCAAATTTAGGGAAAACATGAGTGATAATACTACTCTCTAAGAAAAATTTAAAAAGGGTAAAACAAGCACTAGCATCAAATATCTTAATTTGGAGAGGGGTTATTGGACCTCTTAACATCACATTAGTGATCCCTAAAAGCAAGTTGTTGCTTGGTGAGATTTTAAGATATATTTTATTCTTTCGCTAATGTCCTTCCTCGATTAGAGAAAAGGGTTAGACATGTAGAAGATTGAAGAAGAGGATAAAAATAAGGGAAATCTATCAAATGAGAGATGAACTATTTAATAATACCATAATGTATTATGGGTGTGGTTTCCATAAGGTCGCAACCTTAAACAATCCAATTAAGGCGTACTTCCAAAAAAAAAAAATTTCTTTTCTTTTTCATATTCATACATCTCAATGTCGAGATGATTAATTAGCGGATTTTTAAACGTTAAAACAACTTTTACACTGGATTTTTTAAGTGCATTTGTAATTTTACATTTTAAGGTTGCAACCTTATATAAACTTTTTCCATGTATTATACTCCTATAGGAGTAGAATGTCTATTTACTCCTTTGGGTAATACCTCACCTAGAATAAGTTATTCATGAATAAGCGGGTGCAAGAACCTGCTGACTACTCACCAATATCCATCTCTAAGATGGACATTGTACAAAACCCATACGGCTAAAATGAATTTAGACAGTGTAGAAATTTTTTAAAAAAAATCGTATTTAAAATATTGAAAATTTTGTTCTTTTTTTATATTCATGATCATCGTAACTTAGATCATGAATCCCTAAAATTTTGGCTTAAAAATCCACTTTTAAGATAAGTTTAAGTGGGGGTCCGCATATGTACAATATGAGTTGTTTGACTCATAGAAACCCCATCTACTTTAGATATGTAACATGTTCAATACATATATTAACCTCAATAAAAGAAAAAAATTCCTAATTGTGCTCTCCAGATTGAATATATCATCCAATTTTTAGATGGTGAGATCCAATTGTTGAAAATATCAAATTTTAATTTTGCTAAAAATAATTATCTAATAATTTTTAAGTGGTTCCCAAAATTTTACATGGAAAATATCCTCCCTAACGGATCTGACCAACAGAGTAGAAGAAACTTTACGTAGTCTTAACAATTTATCTATTTGGAACTATTCCAACTCATGACCACGTGTTTTTTATGGGTATTTTTCCCTAAAAATAATTAAGCTATGAATAAAATAATGAATGCACCAATAAAGATATCTATCTATAAAAAAAAAACGTAGAGCATTTTGAATTGCCCACTTAACATTTTGTCCTTCAATTTTTTTTCAATATTCTCTTTTTTATTTCTATACAAATCAGAACCCATGGCTCCATTTAAATCAATAAACTATGGCCAAAATAAGAAATCTCTTCAAAATATTAAGATAGCTATTCCAGCATAGTTGATATTATGAAAATATAATAAGAGAAATTGAACTTAATATGACAAATTAAATAATAATTTGATAAGGCCATAAACAGATGTAAAAGTAATACATCTGTTAGGGTGTACAATAAGAGAAATTGGCTTATGTTAAGGTGTTCACATTATAGAGATTTTTATGATTGTAGTCAACAAATTTTGGACATTTATATACCATTGTTTTATATATATATATAACTTTTTAGTAAAGGTATTTTTTGTTATTAAGAGAGATATGACATCATCCACACGGTGTATGACATCACCCAGATAGAGCACAT